TTACCTGCACAACATTAGTCATGTGACACAAACAAGTAAACTTGGCAGGTTCTTAAATGTTCTTAAAGGGACCATTATTGTGACTGCCTTACATTGAGTGCAGGGCTGCATCCATGATGTAGGGGCCACTTTAACAGGCTTGATAACATGTCCTTCCCACCTCATGTGTAAGCAGAGGACAGACACAACCAACTGTCCCAGTTTGACAGACCATCTCATCGAATATATAATCGTCGGGTCACCATGTGCCAACACCATCTTAATCAATATCACAAACCAAACTGTCAGAGGGTCAGCGCTGAGGGAGCGGGCACTGTCGGAGGGTCAGTGCTGAGGGTGCGGGCACTGTCGGAGAGTCAGCGCTGAGGGAGCGGGCACTGTTGGAGGGTCAGCGCTGAGGGAGTGGGCACTGTCGGAGGGTCAGTGCCGAGGGAGCGCCGCACTGTCGGAGGGTCAGTGCCGAGGGAGCGCCGCACTGTCGGAGGGTCAGTGCCGAGGGAGCGCCGCACTGTCGGAGGGTCAGTGCCGAGGGAGCGCCGCACTGTCGGAGGGTCAGTGCCGAGGGAGCGCCGCACTGTCGGAGGGTCAGTGCCGAGGGAGCGCCGCACTGTCGGAGGGTCAGCGCTGAGGGAGCGGGCACTGTCGGAGGGTCAGTGCTGAGGGAGCGGGCACTGTCGGAGGGTCAGTGCTGAGGGAGTGCCGCACTGTCGGAAGGTCAGTGCCGAGGGAGTGCTGCACTGTCGGAGGGTCAGCGCTGAGGGAGCGCCGCATTGTCGGAAGGTCAGTGTTGAGGGAGCAGGCACTGTCGGAGGGTCAGTGCTGAGGGAGCACCGCATTGTCGGAAGGTCAGTGCCGAGGGAACGCTGCACTGTTGGAGGGCCAGTGCTGAGGGAGCGCTGCACTATCGGAGGTACTTTCCAATGATATGTGACCATGCCTGCTCTATGGTAGTGTCAAAGAATACCAGGGTAGTTCTCCCTGGCATCCTGGGGCCAATATTTATCCCTCATCATCTAAGGTAGTAGGTGGCTTGACCTATTGTGCAGGGATGTGCAGGCTGGGTGTATTAGCAGTGGGAAATGCAATGTTACAACGATAAGGTAGGTGTGTGGGTCTGAGTGGGATGTTCTTTGGAGGGTTGGTGTGGACGTGATGGGCTGAATAGCCTGCTTCCATCCTGTAGGGATTCGATGATTGCAAAATTGCTACGTGCGGGAGCTTGCTGTGCACAAAATGGCTGCTGAATTTCCCACATTTACCACAGTGCCTGTACTTGGAAATGTCCTTCATCAGCAGTCAGGTGCTTTGGGACACCCTGAGCTGGTGAAAGGTGCTCTACAGAAATGCGAAACCTTCCCTCTGTTTAGGGTCTACACGCTGCACCGTCTCCTCCTGGCACCTGGCTACAGGGTCAGCGATAAACAGTGCCCACACCATGCATCAACAACTGGCTGTTGGGAAACCACTCTCTCACGCCAGATATCCGAGGGGGCCTCTAAGGTGATGGATGGGTGACAGGTACATCCCCTTAAATTGGCCATCAGCGCAGAAGCAGAGAGCCCTACTTTCGTCCAGGACTGTTTCTCAATCAGCCAGAACAGAATCCATTCACTTCAGAGAGGGCTCTGTTCCATTTCAGATGGACTATCTGTCAGAGGGAGGGGAGGCAATGAAGATAATGGAGACTACCAACAAGCGCAAGGATCGAGAAACAATTTCATAATGAGATGTGTGCTGCACACCGTCCCCAGCCCGACGGCACTTCGAACAACATCAATCGCCAGTGGAAAAATTATTGAGGATGGTCAGGACTTGTCGGGGGTAGTACTGAATAAGATTGTCTGACAATTGCTCAATGCAGTGCAACATGCATTTCGGTTTTCACATGCATTGCACAGTGCACTAATGTGCCTGCACACACCAATGCACAAATGTGCACTCTGCACACACACACGTAGTTGCACACACAGACATGCACACGCAACACAGAAACACACACATTACACACATGGACAGGTAAACAGCATAGAGCGAGCGAGTCACAGATAGAGAGAGAGAGAGAGAGAGAGAATGATACATACCACACAGGGGCAAAAGGATGTTAGCTTTGCTTTTCTCTTCATGTACAGAGCACGGTCCGTTTCCCTTCGCAGTGCGATGGTAGATATATTTTATTAATTCTAAGGACAGGGAAGCACACACAGCTTTTGCGACCTAGAACTGTTAGGTGGGTTCAGCGGGGGAGGAAGACAGAAGCAGGGGGAGTTGGGGAGTGGGGGGTGTGGGGTGGAGGGGAGGTGGCGAAGGAAGGGGGAGAGAGAGAGGAGGAGAGAGAATGCCACTCCACTCAGGAGATAAGCTGATGGCTACACTAGTCTCTCACGCTATCATTTCTTTATGATCCCAGCTCTGTCTCTCTCTCTCCCTGAGGTGGGTGATGTATATTTTACTGGCTGTGGAGGGAGGCAGCGAGCGGGAGATGATGGGGGAGCGCTGTGTGTATGAGAGTGAGAGAGAGAGAGAACGGAATATAAATTGCTGAATGTTTTACACTGCAGCTTGAGAGTGCTCCTCTCTCCCTGGCAGGAGTCAGAACGAGGTCTGTGTTTGTTTACAATGGAATTATTTTACTGATTCTCCTCCTGCAAGCCTGGAGTCCCATTCTGAAGGGAGTGTTTCCATCCCATCTTGTCCTCGCAGTGTGATTCAACATCAGCAGGTCCCCCATTAACCCCTCCCTGACTGACTCCCCCATTAACCCCTCCCTGACTGACTGCCCCATTAACCCCTCCCTGACTGACTGCCCCATTAACCCC